CAATTTTACAACTTTTGTGCATCAACTATCCAATCTTTCGAACATTTGTCCAATGGTTGCTGGTTTCAGCAACTCTGCTGCCTAGAGAAGGATGCACTTACTTGAAAAAGATAAATAATAATCTGTAAATATTTTTTAACTTCACTGAGGCTAGTGCAGTCCAACGGTTTGGCTGCTCTCATTGACCGCTACCAAGGAACTGAAACTGTATCTCAACACATACGTATGGTCAAATAAAATCATATGTATAACACTAACTCGTTTCGAAAACAGTGAATATTGGATTGGTTATGTACTATATGTCTCACCTAACGCCTCATTGGTGTCATAGATAGGAGGGGTTGAGCGGCCTACAGCCACTGAAAGTACTTGTATTTACAGGTATTTACTATATAGAACACTAGAAAATCACTACATTCTAGTTCGAAACCGCGTGTACTGAATACTTTAGTTGTCATTACATAATTTTGAACGTTTCTACATCTATTGTCTTGAAAGTTAAAGTAGGATATTGCTTGATGATAGGCAACCTGGATATCAATGTCTACGTTCAGTCACTGAATTCGTGATGACTTGTTTTGTATATCTTTGTGATTATTGCTATATGTCGTATATCAGTCGAAATGACAACCTTTAATACTATAATCCCCAACAGCGTATAATTTGTAGAATGTGAAATGAAGTAACAATAGCACTATATCCTAACATACAATTGAAACTATACGATTAGCAAGTACGTAACTAAAGGGATGATTGAATGAACATAAATTAAAAGAGAAATATGTGTTTATATGCAATTGATTAATCAATGTTCCTTCAGGATTGTGTGGCATCGACAACCGAACTAATGATAGGGAGTGAAGTAGTTGAGCGTGTCGACCGCTTCACTTATCTTGGAAGTCTCATCAACCCTTGTGGTCTGGTGTGTGACGAAATCTCAGCACGGATACAGAAGGCTCGACTGGCTTTTGCCAACTTGCGTCATTTATGGCGTAGGCGAGACATCCGTCTGCCGACTAAAGGACGTGTTTACTGAGCAGCAGTTCGTTTCGTCCTACTTTATGGTAGTGGAACATGGCCGGTAAGAGTAGAGGATATTCGTAGGTTACTAGTATTTGATCATAGGTGTCTTCGAAACATCTCTCGCATATCCTGGGACCATCGAGTAAGTAATGCAGTTGTTAGGACACGGGTACTAGGTAAGGATGGCAAATCGATTGATGAAGTGGTGAAACTTCATCAGTTGAGATGGCTGGGACACATGTTACGTCTGCCCAACCACCGACTGCCCCGATGAACTATGTTTTATGGTATAGGAGTAGGTTGGAAGAAAGCTAGGGGCGGCCACATCAAAACATTGCACAAATCCATGAAGTCACTGACAAGTGGACTGAGTCATGTTGGTAGGTGTAGACTACCTGGTTGAGATCCGCGAGATGATAGCAATCGATGGTTAGAGACCCTGAATGACATAGCTTATAATCGTTTGTATTGGCGCAGGTGCATTCACTCTCTGTGTTCTCCCAAATTCTAATCTTCTGAATTCTTCATGTCCCTTTTTTCCTCTTTCCAAATTTGTTTCACTGTATTATACTTCTTGAATAACAGCTTCAAACCCTAAAGTTTCCGATTACTGATTATACTCTTACTACCTCGACCAATACGGGATTTGAGTCGACAATCACTTCTCTGTGCTAATGTGGTGTGGCAACTTGAACCAATTTACGTACATACGAAGTTCTACGTTGTTACTGACTGACTGACTGATTAATCAATTGCTAAATATATAGTCGGACAAAAGAAATAAATGAATATTCAGGCACTGTATTCAATCTTAAACACTTATTTATGCAAGCGTAAAGGCAGATACAAATTTTCATAGACCAAAATAATACTATCCGTCTGTCAAATAGGTCGATTCATGGACTTCAGCAGTTTGAACACATAAAACATAGTCTGAGAATAAGGGACCCTTCGACAATAAATCATAGACGTACTTTTACCAAAGAATCGATCTTAGCCTTGAATGTCAAGCGTTTTTCCAATTTTTCAGAAGGTTTGTACTACTCAATTGAATATTGTGAGTGTATGTGGTAAAATTTTAATTCTGAGTATCAAGCTATTACGTTTTATCAGTGAAGGATCATTTACTGTAATAAAATTTTCATTTGTTCACCAGCATACATGATTCCCTATTGCCATATTTGATTGTTTTGGCTTCTTCTGTTAAAGAACGAAGCATGCAATTCGTTGAAAGTGTGGTTTTACATTTTTAGAGGCAAAAAAATATTTGAGCAAGTGTAGATGTTGTTTTACATTCTGTTTACCCAATAAAGGTTTTTTCCACTCTCGGTGCGTAACTTCCAGAACTCAAATAACTCAGAATTAAGCTTCTGAAATGATGTTGATATAACAGTTATGTACACACAGAGTCAAATAATCAAGAAAACAACAACTCTAGAATGATATCAGATAGGTTTTGTGGATATTATAGTAATTTAAATGGTTAAGAACATGAGTCAGTTGAAGCTAGACCATCATGGAAAACCTGGAAGTACTGGACGGCCGTTTCGTCCTATTGAATTTAGACATTAACACTGTTGGATGCCGGCTCAGTGGTCTAGTGGTTAAGTGCTCGCGCGCGAAAGAAGTGGGTTCGAATCTCGCAGGAGGCGAGGTCGTGGATGTACACTGACACTGAGGAGTCTCACGATAAGACGAAACGGTCGTCCATTGCTTTCAGGTTTTTAATGATGGCCTAACATCAATCGGTTCATGATCTCAATCAAAAACCTAATAATCTCCAAAACCCTTTATTGATAGTCGTTATCAGGATTAATATCGAAACTCCAAATATAGAGCATACAAAAATATGTGGATACAAATATCTGTAAGCTAGAAGAACAGAAAAAACCAATAAGCTAACAACCATTACATTACATGACGTTCATATGCAACTTAAAATGAACACATTATTTCAAAAGACATGGGATTTCAGCAGAAAAAATCTTTGTAAGCTCCGCCTGGAGCTCCTTCTGGGGCTACTGCCGGTCTCAAACCCGGATAAAAGAGGAGGATTGAGCATGGGGTTAGCGATCTCATCCCATGGAAAACTAACTCGGTAAAAAACACTAATTAGAAAATAATTCATTATTAAGCAATGATCTTATTACTGCGATGATCAACCATGTAAGGATCTCACAATGAGGATTGATATCACACTTCATCTAACGATATTTGTGAAATACCACTTTCAAATGGTATAAAACATAAACTTCATGAATAATAAGACAAATGATTATGATTTTGAAAGATAGAACAGTACAGGCTGATGAATGTATCTTGTTATATTTCTCTCTTATTACAACCTATCTATTCCTATTGGTTAGTAGTCTTGGACGTCAATTCACTTGACAAATCACCAAATCAGATCATGGTTGTACAGGAAAGAAATGATATTCCAAATAACAAGGGATAGATGGAAATAAGAAGCATAATAACCGAAATGTTAGTATCTTTATACTATTTACATGAGATGATTCTAAAGTGTTCTTCAAGTATCAACTAACGCTGAGTGGTTAGGAATTAGCCAGTCAACGTACACCAACACAATTATCCATGGAACATGATTTAATTCAATCTATATCCCCCGTTAACGTATCTGATCATTAAACTTTCTTATCAACCGGGACTGTTGTGAGACAGTAACTCACTGAAGACAATGATGTACCGTGGCGCAACTTCGTGAATTGGTTGAAGTTAGACATTAACACCATCGGATGCCGGCTCAATGGTCTGATGGTTAAGGGCTCGTGCGCGAAACCAGTAGGTCCTGGGTTCGAGTCCCGCTGGGTGCGGGGTCGTGGATGCGCACTGCTGAGGAGTCCCATACTAGAACGAAACGGCCGTCCAGTGCTTTCAGGTTTCCCATGATGGTCTAGCTTCAATTGACTCATGATTTCATTCTGTGACATTAAACTTTCATCCAATAACTTACAAAATAAGTCCTACAAAGATTTCTAAAGTTTTCATATTTACTATTCAAGAAAGAATTTTGTTATCTCCTATTAAAATGGTTACGAATCTCGAGAATGGTGGAGAAGATTTGTAACTCAGGTGGATGATTTTGATGGAGTTTTGTTCTCTCAGCTGGATGGTTTAATCGTGGAGCTTTCATCGTTCTCCTTCTGAACGACATCATCATTAGCATAAACCTCAGATAGAAGTGAAGTGTTCGAATTTCTCCATATACGTTATATCTCTGATTGGTTTGATTTTTGTTTCTATATTTGTGTATAATTTTCCTGATTGATTGATAAATTGGATCGATTTCATTGTGCTTGTTGATTACAAATCTGATGACAAATCTCATATAGTTAATCACAGCCATTCAAATGAAATAGTTATACCCTATCAACTAAACTGACATAATAATATTATACAAATTCTATTAGAAATAATTATGACATTAAGATCAAAGGTGAATGTTTGGTGAGACTATAATTTATGGACGACCTTTAAGTGACGCTAGACTAACCTTGATTGTCTACTTAAGAATCAGGACCAAATGAGGATTGTGAACCTGTGTAAGGCATTAGAATTATAATTTACAGTTGATGATTAAGCTTAGAAATTAAATTTGGGGGGTGTTCATCAGGAGGCGACATCAATTATAATACCGAATCTTTATTTATCTAAATGGATGAATGAATTTCACACCAAAATTCGAGACCTATTATCCTATACATGATTGGTCCTCCCATAAATTATAGTCTCGCCGAATGTGTTTTTCTGTTCGCATACCAGTTAGTTATTTGTTAACTTACAAATTTATTCCTCTATGGTAACTAAATAAAATTTTCTCTCCATATTTCGTACTATTGAGAGTGGTATTAAACGGAAAATAATCAAACTGCAAAACGATTGGCTCACTAAGATACATATATATACATATATATATACATAACTGTATATATTATGAACTGACACTCTCTATGACCATAAAAACATGAAATGAATTCATTGTCAACTCTTACTACTTATTAATATCTTTATCAGTAGTATAAATTTGAAGACATAATTTATTAGACTCATATTGAAAAACTAAAAAACAAAACAAAAATTATGAATAAACATACAGATAATTATCATTATGGTTATGAACAAGAAAAAGACCAATTAGAAACGATTACAAATCAATTAAATGTTTCATCAAATTATGAAAGGTAATTCATATTTCAATAGAATTGTTCTATACTACTTACAAATGTAATGGATACTTTTATTTGATAAGATTGAATAATTTTTTCTGGTTAGCGTTTTTTAAGCGAGTTAGTTTTCTAGGGGATAGAGTCGCTAACCCCATGCCCAACCCTCCTTCTTTGTCCGGGCTTGGAACTGGCAATAGCCCTCGGAGGGACTTCAAGCGAAGTTATTTGATATGATTACGTAATTTTGTTACTAATGACAAAAAAGAACCGGCAATAAATACTGTAATATACACTAAATTCCTATTATTATGATGATGGGCGAGATTATAATGTATGAACAGCCTTTGAACGATATCAGACTGACTTTGAGAGTGTTCATTTAGTAACTAGGACCAAATGAGGATAATGAATCAGTGTTTTCATTACGAACTGACATTATCTGTTGATGCTAAAACTCTGTTTAACCAAATAGATGAATGAATTTTGCATCAAAATCTGAGACCATTTATCTTATACCTGATTGATTCGTTCATGAAATTATAGTCTCTCCGGATTATGTTTCCTAATTTATCGTTGGGGTAGGGTATCATAGATAGATAAGTGAGTAAGTGTTAACTGACAAAAATGTTTGTTTCCTACCGTACATTTAATAGTCTTAGTCATAGATTATAATTACACATTAATTGAAGAAATAGATTTTAATATACAAAATATTAAATATGATTTCATAGTATTGTGGTGTATGCTACTGATATCGACAGAGATAAGTAGTATATGTCAGCAATCGAAAGTGAAATGTCTGGAGGCAAAAGATCAAAGAGAAGAGAGTGAGAGCAAAGAGTGATTGGCATGAAGACGAAAGGACATGTTACAAATGAAGTATTTACTGTATGATTCGCAGTCTTTTACTAAGATATCAAACAGAGAAAAGCTGGATAATGTGTTTTGTGAAGTAATTGTTTGGGCTTATAGTATTATGGACAGTAACTAGGCCTTGCTTTTCGTTAGTCGTTAAATAGTATATGGTAGGTCTTGTAATCTCCATGTCCACATGACTGTTTATCGATGGAAAGTTTTACAGACGTTCTCGTTGTATCGATGGTGAACTCTTAAAGTATAAGTCAAGTTAACAGATAACTTTAAAAGTCATCTTTACATCAATTCACTGTCCATTATCGATTATATGTGTAATGTTGCAGATTCTTAACTAAACTATGAAAATGAATAACATTCAATTTTAGTAAATTTTAATTAATATACAACTTACTCTATGATAACTTTCATGACTACGAAATTGATCAGTTGTTAGTACCTTGTAGATTGTAAATATACTTCATCATTCACGATTGATTGATCACCACCCAGTGATCAGTCCGACAGGAGGCCAGTCGTGGCCCGGATAGCTCAGTGGTAACGTCTCTGACTGTGAAGCTGAGTGACAGGGGATAGAATCCGCCAGGAGCAACAATTCCCTCAAGATTACAGGTACACCTTGCTGACGAGTGCCAGGTAGCACGAAACCCGGGTCCAGGGTTTCCTGTTGACTACCTCCAACCACCATCAATCATGTATGTTAACTACGATGAAACCTTTGTGTAAGTAATAAGTTCTTAACAATTGCTGATAGTGATTAAACATTATACGTATTGTATCTATCAAATAGTGAGATATTTTCATCTTGACTATGCAAATTATTTGAATAGTTAATCAAAGATAACATCAAAGACATTTGAGATGATTTCACTTTTACGTAAATTTTAAAATAGAATACATCAAATCATTACCTTTAATTCATATAAGTAGTTTATTTTTTACTTTAAATTTAAAGTGATTAGGGGTATTTCCTGGAATTCCAGAGCGAAGCCGTGACCAATGGAGTTCAACTGGTTTTGTTTTGAGATAGTAATTCACTGAAGGCAATGATGAATGGTAGCGTAATTTCATGAATTGGTCGAAGTTAAACATTAACACAGTTGAGTGCTGGCTCAGTGGTCTAGAGGTTAAGCGTTCGTGCGCAAAACCGTTAGGTCCTGGGCTGGGATCGCGCAAGTAGAATCATGGATGAGCACTGCCGAGGAGTTCCACAATAGGACGAAACAGCTATCCAGTGTTTCCAGGTTCTCACTGGTAGTCTATCTTCAATCAAATCATGAATTCAACAATTAAATTACTATAATATCCACAAAAAACTCCTTTCTAATAATAATACTAATGAACGTTATTTTATTACTGAATTCTATACATGGAAGGATTATCTACGGTGAGATTTAGAATGAAACAACATTCTACTGTTTCATAAGTATTCCAAAACAAATTGGGACAAAGATGTTTGTTAATGGTTTAAACTATCTATACTCTAGACAAAACCCTTATAAAGAATATCTACATATAATTTGATGCATAGTGACTGATTCATTCAAGGGATATTATCATAGTCTTTATGAGATACTAAGAAATGTGTATTCAGTCAATTGGGATTCATTCATCTCTGATTGACAATCATTTTCAATAGTTGATATCATGAGTCATTTAAAGCTACATTACCACAGAAAATCTGGAAGCACTGGACGGTCGTTTCGTCCTATTGTGGTACTCTTCAGCCGTACCACGATCCTGCTCGTGGTCTAGCTTCAATTGACACATGATCTCAACTATTGAAATTACTATAGTCTCCACAAAAACCCTTCTGATCCTAACCATTTTGAAACTGGTCTTATTTACACACAATAAAAGCACAGTTATCAGACTATAACTAAATGTATTAAACCTTAATCTCTATAAACTAATGGCCAGATACATTATTCAATGATCAGTGTTCTAAGAGAAGATACGGTACTACTTAAGTTCTTTATTTTACTTTTCTTTAAATATATCTAGATTACCTTCTCCTTTACCAGTTCAATCATCATTAAGTAAGTCCCTCTTTTTCTAGTTTGATTTTTATAATTATCAGTATAGGGTTGTAGAGATTATTAAGTTTTTGATTAACATCATGAATCAATTGATGTTAGACCATTATTGCAAACCTGGAAGCATTGGATGACTGTTTTATCCTACTGTGGGAATCCTCAGCAATGTGCATCGATGATCCTGTCCACGGGATTCGAATCGAAAACCATCACTTTCATGCGAGAACGCTTAACCTCTAGACCACTGAGCAAGTATTCAACGATGTTATTCGTACTTAGAAAAGATAATTAGATTTGATTACAAATACCATTTGTTTTATTGATTTCATCTGATACAGTTTACTCAATGGTAAACTTTTTTTTTCTTTTAAACACAAAAGTTGGTTCAAAAGAAATAAGAAATGGAAACATAGTTCCTTGTGTTATATTGTTGTGAATATCTAACTTTGATTGTCCTATGATCTTGAGTAAGCTTTCATCCATTGTTTGAGGTGGATAACTGTCTCCGCACGACATGGATTGATCTAGGTTAGATTGACTGATGAATTTAACTATTAAACTTATTACAATCTTCATAAATTCTCATTTTAATAATAATCATGTACTCATTAGTGACTAGCTTTAAGATAGATTTCTTGGAGTTCTAGTGAGAAACCATAACCACTGAAGTTGAATCTGTGTTGAGTGAAGATAGTTATTCACTTCAGACAATAGGTAAATAGTTGTGGATGATCATGGATCGACTAAAGTTAGACATTAACATCGTTGAATACCAGTTCAATGGTCTAGAGGTTCAGTGTTCTAGAGCAAGTCTTACATGCAGGATCGTGGAAACGCACTAGTGTGAAATTCTATATGAGGATGAAACGGTCATTCAGTGCTTCCAAAGTTTCTATGATGGTCTAACTTTAATTGAATCATGAATTCAACTATAAAATGATGGTTATATCAATTAACATCCTTTTTCACAATCATGAACTAGAAACTGTCATGTACTATCCCTTTAACTCAGTGAAATGCATTGTATTTAAGATAAGACTACATGTTTTCTTTCAAATTTGTCTTCACTATTGTTAAATGTAACTGAATGACATCAATGGGATAAACTGGTTCTGATAAAGATAATCGATTATTATTGATCATGTTGTTAGGGGGTTATATAGATTGTTTAATATCCATCAGAGAATTAACCAGAAAATGTACCCTAATTATAAACAAAGATGGATGGTGGTTAGCAGTAGAATCTAAGATGCGCGTTTCACCCTGTTTGGGACTCGTCAGCTGAATGTACCTACATCTTAGAATTGTTATTCACTTGAGGTCTCGAACCCAGTACCATTCGTTAAGTGAATATTGGGATAATGTTTGAAGCGAACAGTATTAGGTTTGAGTCCCAGTGTAAACATTAACTCTGAGATGTAAGTACATCTATATGACAAGTTCCAAATAGGATGAAACGCACATCTTGGATTCTACTACTAACCACTATTCATCTTTACCTACAATATTAAGAATATTTCGTAAGACAAAAAGAAAGGATTAATCACATATCAATAATCTGTTACAGGCAAATGTCATTCATTTAATGTTCATTGTACTTGATACACTGAACAGTTTAATCATTTTATTTAAGTAATTCAGTAGATTAAACATTTGAATTCAACTCAACTTCATTGTAACAAAATCTGTTTAAACAGATGGAATGTATTTCAGTAATCTACCGAGGAATAGGTTATAAATAAGATTTTTGGCATGGTTCCAATGATCTAATTGATCAATTAGATAAGATCATTGAGAATTTGTCTATTCAGATTACAATTGATTTATCATTAGTTTTCATAAGACTGATTTTTCCAATTAGAATGGAGAATGTATATTCTAATGTATGTTCTTTTAATGGTTAAAATCATGAGTCAGTTGAAGCTAGACCATCATGGAAAACCTGGAAGCATTGGACGGCCGTTTTGTCCGATTGTGGGACTCCTCAGCAGTGCGCATCCATGATCTCGCCCCCTGCGAGATTAGAAACCCAGGACCTGCTGGTTTCGCGCGCCAGCACTTGAATGCGCACTGCTGAGGAGTCTCACGAACGGCCATCCAGTGCTTCCAGGTTTTCCATGGTGGTCTAACTTCAACGGACTCATGATCTTAACCATTGAACTTACTATAATATTCACAAAACCCATCTGGAGCTTTCATTGTTATTCTGATGATCCATATCCAGTACAAACTTTAAATAGAACAATTAAAACTTCATGACTAAAGGATCTAATTCAGAGAATAAAATTCTAACTGAGCTGTAAATCTTTTTCATCATCAACAAATGTAAGTTTAGTACCTAATACTTAAAAGATAGGAGCAGTGGAGCTGGTGAATGAGCAAACTTGAATGCCCTCTTCTTTCCTATAATGTTTACAATTGAGATCTAGTTTAGAATTATGTAACACTACAATAATAAGTCTTTACTATTTGGTTCTACTTATGTTGTTATGTAAATTCACATATACAACTACATTCAATACACCATTCAAATATTGATTGTTTTATTGTATTGTCCATGATAGATATAGCACGTCTTTTAAATTTAGATTTACCCGCATATAAAGTGGTAGTAACAACAAAACAAAAGTGTAAATGACGTAACTATTTTAAGGGAAATCTGTCTCTTTTTCAAACAGTATACCCTTTTCAATATTGATTGTCTTTATATATAATTCGAATAATATACGGGTGTTTGTATACTATTTACAGTAATCATTTCAGTAGTATGTAATGTTTACTATAGATTTAACATCTTGTTAAGATTGAATATGACATCATAATGAATATGATTACTTTTGATGGAGTTTTGTTCTCTGAGCTGAATGATTTGGTTGTAGAGCTTTCATCGTTTTTCTGAACGACATCATCATCAGCACAAACTTCAGACAGGAATAAAGTGTTTGAATTTCTCCATATGCATTTCACAGCTTGTTCTGTACACCTCGACGTTGATTGGTTCTTATTGACCTTAAATTCGTCATTGTTTACTTCTTTGTTTTGGTTGTGTCTCCCATTGGTTTGATTTTTGTTCCTGATTGGTTGATAAACTGGATCGATTTCAATATGCTTGCTGATTGCTGATTGACTTGAGTACCAAGTTTCTAAAAATTCTTTGGTGTTTTTGGAATTTCCTTTGTTCAAGATTTCCACATTTTTCCAATCGAATAAGTGTCCGCAGTTGTCCACGTGTATTGATATAAGTGAGGAAGTATCATGATTACTCATTTCTTTTTGTTTTGCTTATTCATTGTTATGTAATAACTGATTACAAGATCTGGGACTTTCAAGTAAATGATTAATTTCGGTCAGGATTTACTGTAATATTTGATGATTCCAACTATACAGAAACGGATTCATTCTTGATGATGATGATGACGATAATGTCAAGCTTAAGATTCTAAATCAACTTGTGGTATATGCTACTGATATCGACAGATATATAAGTAGTATGTATCATCAGTCGAAAGTGAAATACCTGTCGACTAAAGGTTAAGAGAATTGAAGAATAGAAAACGAGAACAAAAAATGATTGTTGTGGAAACAAAAGAACAATGTAATCTGAGATGACTGACTGATATTTTACAAATGAGGAATTTACTGTATGATTCTGACATTTTACTAAGATGTTCCGTAATGTTATCGTTCACTACAAACGGACCAGTCATAACATAATATACATGAGTGTTGCTCCGTTAACATCAATCAGTATTAATGTCTAGAATATAAGATTTTGTATTCTTTAGTCATTGAAATAGAATCCTGCAACATAGATTGCCTACGTTACTTATCTACACTAAAGGATTTCAATCATTGAATGCTAATCCAGTGGTTTGAAGATTAAACACTAATTGTGAAGCGTGGAGGTCAGGGATTCGATCCGTCATGTTTGTACACTGGTGAGAAGTCTCATACTAGGATGAATTATTTATTCAGTATTTTCTGATTCTCATTAGTTACTAACTGATGGAAGACCGTAAAATAGATAGTGAAGTAATGTTGTTGTTGGTTCAGTTGAAATGCCATTCGTATTAATACTCTTACAGGAATATACGTATTTCAGTATACTAGTCTTTTATAAAATTCACATTATTCATTGTCTGAGCAAAGGTAGTTATCATAAAACCCTGCTCGACATAGGTTTCGATCGAGTTAGGACTTGTCAAGAAGATTACCTGGAATCTTGAATTAATTGATTCTCCTTCTTGTATTCGAACAAAGTTATCCAGTTTGGTATTTTGAGTTATTACTAATGAGCTATTGTGCCAGCTACTAACTTTGTTTCGGATTGAAATACTTACAATTGGTCAGTCACAGAATCATTATCAATGTTAAGTTAATCCAGTCTTCAGAAATTATAAAATCTTACCTCCGATCACTTAACATGAAAACATTGTGCCTGAGATATCACGTCACATAGACTAGTGGCCAAACACTTTAACTTGATCCAGGACAGAGTTGGATGGTGAATACTGATGGGTGGCCTGTGCTCCACCACGAGGGATAACAGGCATAAGTAAGTAGGTATAGACTTCGATCATCACTAGTGACTAAACAGGTATGTATATTTAGTGGAGTATATGATTTGTTTATTTAAATCGACTCCCACAATACTTAATATTCAATTCTTTTTAACATAACATATAGCTGTTATTAAATAAACATTATTTAGAAGGTACTTCTCATAGTACCATCTGCATGTTAAAGGATGACAGTAAATGAAATGCGAGTACGAAAAAGATTTTCATCATAGACTAGAGAAACATGGGATTAGTGAAAATCAAGAAACAATCCAAAAATCTTTCCTTTCACTTTGAGACTTTTCTGAAGTACATACCTAAGATCTTGTGAAGGATCAAACCTAGTATCTTCGGATTTAGTAATAAGCAGTTTAAGATTGATACCATCGAGTTGGTATTTAATAGTCCACATCTACTTCTATCGGTATATATATATATACCGATAGGTCAGTTTAATGGTTGAATTTTTGTTCATTACGAAGTAACAAGACTTGGTTTTCTTTGTGCATAAAGTACACTAGCAACAAACTGTTTTTATGCACATAAATGACAAGAGGTAAAACTCTATTCTCATGCTTCTCTGATATTATTGCCAAAGAATATATTCGCCATTTCGTCCCAGTATAGTACTCTTCGTCAGTGCGCATCAACGACCCTGCGTGTGGGACCCGAACCCAGGACCTTTGGTTTCGCTAGCAGACACTTAACCTCTAGACCAACCAGTCGGAATCTAACGGTTTTAATGTATCATTCCAATAGGCCCATGATCTCGTACAACAACATCATCATCGAAGTCCAGTGCTTCCAGGTTTCCAATGGTGAACTATCTCAGATCAGTTCATGAATTCAACCGTTAAAATAATGCTTAATTTAAATGCTTTATTGATTTCCTTCCAACAAATAACCTACTTACTTATGCCTGTTTCTCCCAATGGAGCATGAACCACCGACCAGCATTCTCCAACCCACTCTGTCCTCGGCCTTCCTTTTTAGTTCTATCCAATTGATGTTCATTTTTCTCATGTCTCTCTCCATTTCTCGACGTAATGTGTTATTTGGTATTCCTCTTCTCCTTTGGCCTTGAGGATTCCATGTGATTGATTGCCTTGTGATGCAGTTGGGTGATTTCCTCAATGTGTGTCCTATCCACTTCCAGAGCTTCTTCCTTATTTCTTCTTCCGCCGGATTTTGGTTTGTTCTCTCGTACAGTGAGTTGTTGCTGATAGTGTCTGGTCAACGGATCCAAAGTATTTTGCGTAGACAGTTGTTAATAAACACTTGTATCTTGTGGATGATGGCTTTCTTAATTCTCTAGGTTTCTGCTCCATACAGTAGAAGTGTCTTGACATTTGTGTTGAAAATTGTGACTTTGGTGTTGGTTGATAGACAGTTGTTTTGAGTTCCAGATATTCTTCAGTTGTAGATATGCTGCTCTTGCTTTGATCATCCTCACATTCACATCTGCTTCAGATCCACTGTGTTCATCAATGATGCTGTCCAGATATGTAAAGGTTTTTATATCTTTCAAATCTCCGTCAAGTGTGATTCAATTATTGCAATTCTGTGTTGTATCAGAGAATCTTGCTTTTCCGTTTGTGTATGTTGAGACCTACGGCTACTGAGGTTGCTTCTACATTTCTATAAATAGTTTGATAGAAATTAGGCACTGAGTATGTAGAAGATACTATATATATGTAAAAATTATGTTTGGAATATTTTCGGCGGCTGAAATTACAGTGATCTTAACTTTTCATTCATCAAGCTTGTTTGAGCTTCTTTGAAGTAAACTAATGAAAGTTGAAAGTATCTAAGAAAAAAAAACGCATAACACTGAATAAACAAATCTGTAGACTTGAAGTGTAGACACGAACCAATCCGATTTCTGATGATGCCTGTAGAGTTTGTACGCAACATTCGTTCATCCATATCTTTATGTGTCTGCGTGTGTGTGAGAATAATCAGCTACTTTCGATTGTTTAATAAAAGTGAGACATCTAGTAATTTCAAGCATTTTTTTCTTTCAGTTAGTGGGTGAGTGTTGGTCATGAGAGCATAATTTTCACTGAGGATCTTAGCTGAGTGATCTAATGACATTTAGCCTTAAGTCACAAACTTTTTAAGCAAAGATGGATAATGAACAGTAGTGGAATCCAGTTTGCCGCGCGTTTCGTCCTATTTGGGACTCGTCAACTGAACGTACCTGCATCCTAGAGTTGATATTCACTTCGGGAATCAAACGCAGCACTGTTCTCTTCAAACGTCATCGCGTTATCCACTTAGCTACTGAGTCCTGAGTTAAGGCTATATCGAGGCATCCGAACAGGATGCACATATGCCAACATGAGACTGATCAATTGCAGTCCTAAATAACAATCGAAAGATACAAGTAAAGCAACACCAAGTTAATTCCAACTTCATCCCATTGCACAAGTAGGTGGCTATCAGGACTCTGTAGCTAAGTGGAGAATGCGATAGTGTTTGAAGTGAACGGTAATAGGTTCGAGTCCTGGAATGAGATACAAGTACATCCATCTGACAAGTCTCAAATAAAACTGAAACGCAAATCCTGGATTCCACTACTAACCACTATCCATCTTTGCATAATAATATATAGGCTATTTAATGAAACTATTGACCATATAGAATACAATGTCTATTGTAATTTCTTTTGTTTCTTTTTAATGAATAGATGATCATTGCCATGAACATTCAACAGTTAGTTCAAATATAGATAAAAATGCTAGAAGAAAATTAATACTTGCTAGTGGTCTATGCTTATTTTTTATGACAGGTGAAATAATCGGTATGTTTTTTTAAAATTTGTCTATTTTACTACTTATGAACACTATTTAAGTAATATGTTTAACTGTTTTGATGAAAAAATGAAAAAAAATATATGAATTTATATAACCCTTTATGAAGTAATTTGATTGATAAGCAAAGATGGATAGCGGCTAGTAGTGGAATCTAGGATGTACGTCTCATTCTATTTGGGACTTGTAAACTCGATGTACCCGCATCTCACTGTAGGACTCGAACCTATTACCGTTCAAATCAAACACCATCTCGTTATCCACTTAGCTGTTGAGCTCTCATAGCCAATCTAAGATGTCTTATGATATTATATGATGAAAATTAGCTTGGGATGTTCTGGAATAGTCACTTAAAACACTTAACAAATTATCAGTATAGGGTTTTGGAGATGATCAAATTTTTGAATGAGATCATGAACCGATTGATGTGTTAGACCATCATCGAAAACCTGGAAGCATTGGATGACTGTTTCATTCTATTGTGAGACTCCTTAACAGTGCATATCCACGAACCTGCCCGCGGGATTCGAACTCAGGACCTTCAGTCGCGCGAGCGAGCTCTTAACCTCTAAACCACCGAGCCAGCATACAACGTTGTTAATCATTGATGTTATCGTTGGACAATTCTTTATTTTTCTTCTCAAATTCGAAGTTATCTCAATAGCTCAGAGGAATCGAACCTATTAGATGAAGAGAAAGCAATAACATACAATGAATTCATTGTATTCTGTAACTAGTTTAAGATCTTACTTTATTCAAATTTGTGAACAAGATCAATTACATAGAGCTCATTAACAATTATATAACTAATGATTAATGTTATTGAATAAGTAATGTGGAAATATAACTGATGAGGATTCCATATGGAGGGTTATTATTTATACTTTTACTGAGTGATTAGTAGTTGCTTATGTTTGACATTGCACAGGATCCATTGGGGATCATCAGTTCCTTAAACACTACAGGTGCATCTTGTTGGCATAGAACCAAACAACACAAAACCTAAGTTCAGGGTTTTCTGATGACTACCTTCAATCACCTCCTTAGTGAGAGCTTTACATTTATGTTCTTTTTGAATGGGTTGAGTTTGATTTCAATGATTTGATAGCGATGGCGTCGAGATGACGAAGTAAATTCAAACAAATTAGTTTGAGCAGTATTAGAATATCAACATTGTGTCTGCTATCATCCTAATCTTCTACATTTGGATCAAGAAAACAGAAGTAATATTGAGTAAGAATCACAATGAATAGAACAATATAATTTTGTCTTTTCATCTTGTTTTATCACTGAAGAATCTTATTTTTATGTCTTTTTAGTCAGTCAATATAACACCGGTTTATATGACATTGGCATTGCGTTATACCAATGATACATTAACCAGTAAAAGCAACCGAAAGTCATCTCTAAGTTCTTATTAGTCCTCTGAGATACTTACTTCTTGCCTAACTCGACCAGTTCAGTTCAGAACAAAAAGATCAACCTCCACTATATGAATCATGTATTTCAAACATACACACAGGCCGAAAAAGGCTGTTAGTATGGGATACTGTAGCTAATAAATAGGGGATAACTCAAGAATGGTAGCCAATAGGTCAAATGGAAGCTTATGATAGAAGGAATATAAGTATACATATAATGTAGTTGCATAATAATTATCCAATAAGATTATCTGTAATGATGGTCCATAAATAATTCCTAGCGGTTTCCGTTCATTTATTCTTTGTTAGTTTGTTTATTTATTTGAACATAAATACTGGTACAAAGGGGGCACCGAATACATATACACCACACAAAAGTCATTTGATTTGTGTGTAGACTATAGTACTACCCGGTTGACCAAACTGAACCAGGCGATTTTCTTAGGGGGCCACACTCAAAGCCTTCGATCTAAAGGTCTGATCCACAAGACAATGTGTCAACGTTAGGAGATGTAGTCTCATGGTAGCCGGTGACCAACAATAGGTTCCGATGCCGTATATTCCTTCAAGTGCATGGAGCATATGTGCACCATTGGTTTGTAATGAGGGTGCTTTAACTCCTCTAGGTGAACTCTCCATGTCCCCCAACCCGGTTCAAGTGCCGGATATTAGTTTTTCGTCTATTCAATTTCGTGAACAACACTCACGCCATGAGAAGTCAGTAAGTAGGACTTCCCTGGAAGTGGTTGTATGCATGTAGCCATGTGAGAGCATTTGAAGAGAGAAAGCTGACCCTCCCCACCTTTAACCGTACTAAAGTATTTAGAGTGATCATCTATAACAAGACTAAATAACCATCCAATACTTCCAATGATTATCTAACTAATATCCATCTGTGATTTAAACTTCATCAGTGTCTACAAATTCCTAATTAAGTATAAATTACTTATTTTAAATTAGTAGTCTCATAGGAAGTATTATAATCATTTTGTTTATTCTACCATCAAACCGGAACTTAGTAATTATGATAATTAATTTAAAATTTTACGTTTATTTAAATAATAATTATGATTTAATGCATTTCAATTCGCTTGGATTAAGACTGCAATTGATCAGTCTCTTATCGGTCCCAGAGTCCCAGAGTGAATATCAACTCCGAGATGCAGGTACACTCAGCTGACGAGTCCCAAATAGAACGAAACGCGCGTCAAACTGGATTCGACTACTAGCCACTATCTATCTTTGCTTATAAATGAATTTCAGTTAAGATATATGAAATAATCACATTCTAAATTCATTTGGTATTATTTGCTTGTATTATGGAATATGCTACTTGTGTTGATAGATATAAGTAGTATATGTATCATCAATCGAAAATGAAATGTTTAATAGCAGAAGGTTAATAAGATCGAAGAATAAAGAACGAGAACAAAGAATGATTGGTGTAGAAATGAAGGAACAGTCAAGCCTGAGACAATTGATGAGCGTGTTGCAAATGAAGTATTTAAAGTATGGTTCTGAGATTTTACTAAGGCATTCTATAATTTCATGCTGAAATACATTGTCCCTCGCTTGTGTTCTTGTTCACTACAGCACTATTTTTGTTTAGGACTGAAATTGATCAGTCTCGTGTTGGTATATGTGTATCTCGTGTGGATTACCTCCATATTGCCTTAATTCACATGTTTTATGAACAAATACGGATGGTAGCTAGTAGTGGAATTCAGGACACGAGTCTCAAGTAGAGCGAAGCTTAAGTCCTGGATTTCATTGCTAGCTACTTATATATCTCTTCTTATAATAAAATTCCAGTGATGGTGCAGTGAACGATGGAATTCAGTTGGAGAAGACCAATTTATTGTTTAATGAGAAATTACGGAGTACAGTATAAATTTCGTCAGTTGTCTCTTACAAAGGTCATCGTCACTTCTTTCCTGTTGTTATCACAATTTCTCTTTGTTCACATTTCTGTTCTCTCTAATTCATTCATTTCAATCTTCTTCTGGTTTGCATTCTATTTCGGATTGGTGTTATATACTACTTATATCTGTCGACATAAGTAGTATACATAACAGTGGTATTAAGTAGTCATTTTCAAGATTGTCAATATGGAGATGTGATTATAGTAAGCATGGCTGATTACTTGACGATACCATTGTTTAGAGAATATCGTTTATAAATTAAACATGAATAATAATTTAGACACAAGTTAACTGTGTCTAGATAATCATTTGAAAATCCGATGACAGAAGATAGAGATCGCTTAATAATGTGGGACTTCTTAGCAAAGCATATCAATGACTCCACTAAAAATAGCATCCAAGACCTTCAAACCAAGCCCAAAGCCCGTTACCTTTAAACCACTGTGTTGAAATTCAGCGGTTTGGACTGACTTGTGGAATTATCCAGACCACAAATTTTCGAGATGTCAATGCTTAGATGACTAAATTTATGAGAACCAACTGCAAACCATATTCCTTTGTTATGACAGACTAGATACAGCTCAACTACATTGTTTGCAACATCTATGACAATCATGTTAAGTAAAATGGTTTCAAATCTTACAGTAAGAGTGATTCTTATCAAGAATACAGATACTTAACTACTTGCTTAACCTGTTACTCCTTGTGGAGGAGCATCAGCCACACATCAGCATTCTCCATCCAATCCTGTCCTAGACAATTCTTTCTAATTATTATTCATTCTTTTCATATGTGATTCTATTTCCTGATGTAATGTGTTCTTTGGTATTCCTCTTTCCTATTTCTATTCACGATTTCAAGTTAGGGCTTGACTCGTGATTCAGTTTGATGATTTCCTCAATGTATTTCTTATCCACTTCTAACGTTTATTCTTAATTTCTTCTTCAGCTGGAAGTTGGTTTGTCCTCTATCACAGAAGAATGTTGCTGATGGTATCCAGTCAATGGATGTTGAGTATCTTGTGTACATTTTTGGATGATCATTGTAGTAGTTCTTGTTGCGAAAACAAAATCCCAACCAGATTCAACAAATTAAAGGATACAGATACACCCTGTTATTTACAACCAAATATCAAGGAATCTAGTTAGAATAGAGATTGTTTAACATGAACCATTCAATCGTTTCCCTTTCATTAAAAATATTGTTTGAAGGATTCATTCAAATAAATACATATCAGAAAAGTTTTAGTGGATGTTATAATAATTTCAATAGTTGAGATCATGAATCAATTGGATCTAGACCACCATGGGATAACCTGGAAGCACTGTTTGACGGCTGTTTTGTCCTATTTTGGGACTCATTAGTGACTGACTTCAAGATGTATTTCGTGGAGTTTTAGTGAGAAGCTGTGACCAGTGGAGTTCAAGCGATTCATTTAAGACATTAGTGGATGTGTTACTGAATTTCGTAGATTTATTGAAGTTAAACATTAACACCGTTGGATACCGAGTCACTGGTCTGAAGGTCCTATGTTCAAATCTCACGAGACATGATCATGGTTGCACACTGTCATTGAAGAGTTTCACAATAGGATGAAACGATCATCCAGTACTTCCAAGTTTTCCAATGATGATCTCACATCAATCGATTCATGATCTCAACCATCAATAAAACTTTCAGAATGTTTATTTTTGAACTATCTATATGAAATCATAATGATCATGTTTACTTGTTTGGATTTTATTTTTATTTTTTTTATATTTTTAAATAGGTGGTGCATTAGCTCATAGTTTGGCTATTATGACAGATGCTGCACATTTATTAACGGATTTTGCTAGTTTCTTAATCAGTCTATTAGCTTTATATTTAGCATCAAGACCATCCACAAAACGTATGAGTTTTGGATGGCATCGTGCTGGTAATTCGTTTTCTATTTCATATCATGTATACAAGGTATTTAAATGATCTAGATTATCATATTGAAATGGTGGGAAGGAAGAGGGAAGTGGTTATTGAGTGTTATAGGGATATTCTTTGTTATCCATGTTTAATGATTACCGATTATAGTATTGATCATAAATTGAAATCAATCAAATAATCAATAGTGATCAGATTTCTTTCTATCATTATTTTATATTGATTTTTCGGTTAATCCTTCATGTACTCGGTCAGATGATAATTGATTATGGATAACCTTTGAGTGATGTTAGACTGATCTAGAGAATATTCACCTACTAAACCAGGACCAAATGAGGGTTACAGTTGATGGTTAAGATTTTGATCATGATTTGATATCAGTTATAATGCCGAAATTTCATTTAGCCAAATGAGTGAATGAATTTCACGCCAAAATTTAAGATCTATTGTCTTAAATCTGATTGGTTCATCCATAAACTATAGTCTCGTTGAAATCATGAACAGTGGAGTTCAACTATATCGACAATTAATCATATTGATTGAGATCTTGAACTGATTGATTTTAGACCATCATTGAAAATCTGAAAGCACTGGACGGCTGTTTCGTCCTAATGTGGGACTCCTCAGCAGTGCACATTCATAATCCCGTGTCGGGTAGAGACAGGTATCTACCTTAGTACAATGAAAGATGTTCGCTCAATTTCGTGGATTGGTTGAAGGTAGATATTAACACCGTTGGATACCGGCTCAGTAGTCTAAAAGTTAAGCATCTACACGCGTGACCGGAGGTCTTGGGTTTGAATCCTGCGAGAAGGATCGAGGATGTGCACTGCTGAAGAGTCTCACAATGGGACGAAACGGCCGTTCAGTGTTTTCAGGTTTTCAATGGTGATCTAACATCAATCAGTCCATAATCTCAATCAGTAACTTAATAATCTCCACAACCCTATACTGATAATTAATCGCATATCAAAGGCAAACCGATAAAGGCTAGAAATGTAAACAATTTATAGTGTCTAGTGCCGCATCATGTCCATATGGCTTATTCTATTTTCTGAACAGACCAATTTAGTCATTCTTTTTGATTCACATTTTGATTTGACTACTTATTGGCTTATTAACCCTGATTGTTTTTAGATGGTTGTTATGTGTGTTAATTACTTGCCCTAATCATCATGCGTTTGTAACTTATTTATGTTTGACTATAAATATCGAGTAAGGACTGATTAAATCAATATGGCTCATATACCATCTCCACCTCGCATAATTTCCTTTCGATTCTTCATCTCTTTCTTTACTTCGTTCCCCTGATCGTCTTTTTGGATTAACAATTGAAGTCAGATACACATAAGCCACTAAACTGATAAGTCTAACAGTGAACCTAACTCAGCAAACTACATCGATGAAGAACTTTTCACACACTTCATACTAATTCAGTACAGTTTACTTCATCGAAAAACTGAATTCCATCTCTCTGGTATAAGAATATTGTGTTCATTGAAAGAATGGAACATCCTGTGTTCAATTATGCATAAGATCATAGATATGTACCGGTTAAAAGTTATTCAGATAACTCTCTATGATTGAAATTATTCATTATCTAAGTATGTAAAGTGTTATAACGCTCGGTTGTCTTTGTCTATGCGAATGGGACGTTAATTTATCTTAGGACGAATATCTACATTATATTCCATTCGAGTGTCTATTCTACAGGATTTCAGTATGACTCGAATCAAGAACAAGTGACTCGCCTGACTAGAACGTATGTATATTTCCACACTAAAAACCTACAATAATGATAATATGGGTAGGAGATTATGTAACTTATCTAGTACCAGTCAGACTATCTACTACTCTGACTAAGCATACAATCAGTCGTTATTATCCTCACCTACACATCATAGAAAGTGATATTTGTAACTATGCTTATTCTATAATAAAAAGATGTACTGGAATGAGTAAAATGATCCAAATGACAAGAAAGTCCCCCCCCCTCTCAGTACCAATCAGCTAACCAAAACCCATACAATATCAATATCAAGTAACTGATGGTTAAAGGTAAATCGAGGGTGTTTTTTGGAGTATACATATACATGTAGTCATGATGAAGCATCCCTTTCAGTATTAGTAAATGTATATTGAATGAAGTGTTCAAAGGTGTTTAGGCATTATTCATATTTTTAAGCCCACACAGTATAAATATGATTCCCTGATCATTTACTTATTGTTTCTAAGGTTTTGTTTATGTTTACACCTTAGATCATAGAGATGAATCCAAAAAATAGGAATATTTATTTCACAGTAGATAATGATATATACAAGCCAGAGTCAGATAGATTACAAGCGGTCTCAAATGAAAGATAGTCAATCAGTCAGTTACGATTTAGGATCAGGCACATATTTGCATCGGTCCTAGTTGCTATACCTCATTAGCACAACAAGATCAACACCGGATTCTTAGAAGTAGTTAATTCAGTAGTGGTAATATATAAAAGAAAGATTGTATTTAAGAATATAGTAGAGGAAGAAAGAATTAGTTCGTAGAAAGAATGATATAAAGTAATTTTAATCTGATAGTTTAAGAGAAGACAGAGAGTGTATACACCGACTCCATTGTGATCGATTGTGAGCGATGTCACCTAGAGTCTTCAACCATTGGTTACGATAGTCACGCGGACCTCAACCGAGTAGTCTTCATCTATTTGCATGGCTCAGATTAGAAGTTAGTGATTTCAAGCACTGATGCCACATTTCGGTTTGGCTGCCGCCAACTTTCTTCCAACTATTCTCAACACCAGTCAGGATTGTGCGTCGTGTTCATCGGTGTTCAGGTATACGTAACACGTGGCCCAACCATCTCAGTTGATATAAGATTCACAACTTCATCAACTGATTTACCATCATCATTTCCTAATACCCTACGTCTAACCTCACTAATACTTACCCTATGATCCTAGCAGATGCGAGCAATATTTCGAGGGCATCTGTGGTCAAATACTAGTATAGCTTACGAGTATCTACTATCTTTAACGGTCATGTTTCGTAACTGTAAAGTAGAACAGAACGAACTCCTGCGCAGTAAACTAGTCCTTAAATTTGATAGACGGATATTTCGCCTCCGCTATAGGTATATGTATTGACTTTAAGGTTCAGTAAATCACTTATCTCATCAAAGTTATCATTCATGTAATTTCTTGTCAGTCTAGCAACTTATAAATCTGAATGGGTTCTTTTCAATAATACACCTAACACATTCTTGATCTCTTTATTGTTCACCAATGTATCAACGAACGTTACAACACATGCATAGTGATTGAATCAAACTAACCATAAAACGACTATTATGTAAGATAGCTGACATTACTTATTTCATTGATTTATATTATTATCATGATTACAATAGTCAAGTCTATGTATTCTTGTCTTATTTGATTACAATTCAAGAGGTTGTCGGTGCATTGGCATCTGTTCTATTAATTTGGCTTGTTACTGGTATATTAGTCTATTTGGCTGTGATACGTATTATACATAATAATTATGAAATCAATGGTAAAATTATGCTTATTACATCAGCTACTGGTGTTGGAGTCAATATCATGTGAGTATTTGTTTACTATTGAATATCATAATCATTCTTATCTAATTAAATAATCTGCCAAATCGATCATCATCAAGGTTCAAGACGATTTGATTGAGATCAAGACAATTTGTTAGTCATTGTCTGTGATGATAGTGTAGTGAATGAGAACATAAGTGAAGAAAAACGAATGTGACCGAATGAATATCACACTTACAGAACACCTTACTTACTACTTACTTAAGCCTGTTACCTCTAATGGAGCATAAGCCGCAGACCAGTATTCTCCAACCCACTCTCTATCTTGGTCCTTCCTTTCCAGTTCATTCTTCTCATATCTGTCTCCCTTTCTCGGCGTATTCTGTTCTTTCGTCTACCTTTACTCTTTTGGTGTTGAGGATTCCAAGTAACTGCTTGCTTTGTGATACAATTGAGTGCTTTCCTCAATGTGTGTCCGATCCACTTCCAGCGCTTTCTCCTGATTCCTTCCTCCACTAGAATCTGGTTCATTCTCTCTTACAGTAAATTCTTCATTTGCAAAATATTAATCAATTGTCTCAAACTTGACTATTCCTTTATTTCCATACCAATCATTCTTTATTCTCATTGTCTGTTCTTTGATCTTCATAACCTTCTGCCTCCAAGCATTTCACTTTCGATTGGTGATACATACTACTTATATCTATCAACATCAGTAGCACATATCACAGTATAAATAAGAAAATAATAGCAATATCTTGTTTAACAAAGGTTTTTCTTACCTCATTGATCAATCACTTTTAAAAAAGTTACCTAAGTTCAGTTGGTATTGTTTGCTTGAATATTCCCATTGATGTGTTAAGATTGCAATTGATCAATCTTTTATTGGCATATATGCATCCTATATGCATTGCCTAGATATTGCCTTAATTCACAAGCATTTTGAGCAAAGATGGATAGTGGAATCCACTTTGACGCGTGCTTCGTCCTACTTGAGACTCGTCAGCTACATGTACCTACATCCCACAGTTGATGTTTACTCCAGAACTCGAACCCGGTACCGTTCGCTACAAATACCATCGCGTTATCCACTTAGTTACTAAGTCCTGATAGCCACTTGCTTGTGCAATGAGGGTGCATTTTAACTCCATCTGGATTCCACTACTAGCCACTATCCATCTTTGCTTATAAAGTTACCTAAGATTATGTAATGTTTTGGTTTCGGATAGTAAATACTGAAATGTAGAAATTTCCTTCTTACAAATCTTACGTTATCAATCATATCATATTTGTCAATAGAACCGAATAACGAATCTCTTACAAGAATCCATCTCATTTAGTTTTGTTGATCATTGATTTCATTTGATCTGGATAATATATAATCGGCGAATCAGTTATACTGTTTTCTAAGAATTACTGATACAACTTAACTGATCAAATTATAATGGAGCCCGACTCAAACCTACAATCCAATCTTTGTAATTCAAGCAATTTAGCAATTCATTTACCTCCATATTGGTTAGAATGTATTATTGTTTAGTTAGGAAAAAAGGAAACAGCTTATAGAACAACTCACTCTGATGATTACTATATGATGAAGGATATTAAATTTTGACAACAAATAGGTTAGTATAATCATTAGATCCATGCTCTTGAACTATGTACATAGTATTTGTGACATCAGCTTGCAGTGTGGCGTCGAGTCGTGATTGACTATGATCACCACTACAAGAAGGTTGCGTACCAGATATTAGAAGGCGATTGGAGGTTGTTACTTTACTTACTTACTTACGCCTGTTACTCCTCGTGAAGGAGCATAGGCCGCTCACCAGCATTCTCCATCCAACCCTGTCCGGGGCAATGCTTTCTAGCTCCGTCCAGTTGCAATTCATCGTTTTCATGTCTGCTTCTATTATCCGACGCAATCTGTTCTTTGGAGGTTGTAGCGAGATATATTTGTTGGCGATCTTGTGCTATCGAAAGAATACCGAGACCTTACCAAAGGAGTACAAACGGAATCACTGAGCAAACGTAAGTGCGTGCAAGGTCATAATCAAAGGAAGGAAAAATGTCTTTTGTACAGGCAAACAAGCAAGTACAGTAAAATAATCACTGGTATAATTGGTTATAATAATAATTGTTTCCATTAAACCAATCGCGTTCTCTTGATACAAGTAGGTTACTACAAGCTGTAGAATAGATGTCGAACATCATCGGATATAACTGGAGTTGGAAATATCGATCATTGAATTTCACTTCAGTGAACTAAAGTGGCTAGTACTTTTAACAAAACTCATCATGAGTGAGATTAATGATACACTCTGTAGACGGTTTTCATTCTAAGATAAGACAACTGTCTGATTTCAATTTGTGATGAATATCCCATTTTAAAAAAAACCATCTAACAGAAACTTTTAAACTGAGGAAGAGCCAATATCATGTTCTTATAATCAGTTTTACTAATTGAATTCCATTGATCAATTTAAGATGTAGCGCATTAGTCTAAATGACTATCAACATTAAAATGGATTTATCAAAATTGCACTATTAACATTTTTGATTGAAATCATAATCCGGTTAATGTTAGACCAGTATAGAAAACCTGGAATCACTAGACGGTCCTGTGTTCGAATCTCGCGAGTCAGGATCGTGGATAAATACTGCTGAGGAGTCCCACAATAGAATGAAACAGTTGTCCAGTAGTTCCAGGTTTTTATTGTTGTTGGTAGATGCAGACTAATTAGTAGGAGTCCCAATGGCTATCGTAACCAATGATTTGAGACTCAGCGTGACATGGCTCAGAGTCGATCACAATAGCGTAGGTGTATACACTCTCTGTCTTCTCTTAAACCATGAGATTAAAATCACTTCATACCTTTCTTTCTACGAACTAATTCTTTCTTCCTGTATTATATCCTTATATACAATCTTTCTTTTATATAATACCAGCACTGAAGTAACTATGTAGCAACTCATGTGCAATTGAGTTTGTTCTCATTTAATTCGGTTAAGCCCGTTTTGTTAACTTATTTAGCGGACAAAGTCATCCGTACTATAACAACTTATTGTACCTTTATTATTATTATTGTGCTTGTATGAAATATGTATGCTTGAACATTGCTTACCGCCTACGTATATATTCATTCTGCTAGCTTTATTATTAACTGCCTAATTGATTCAATAATCCATTCATTTCCCTATATGTATACATGTACATTGAACACTCGACACTCTCTACACTCTCGGTTCACTGACCCATTCATTCGCCTCACTGCTTTATGATCTGAGTTATCTACTAATAAAACTGTAGTCGTTGCTTCTCTTTGTCTACTGATTTCAAACACCGTTAAAGATTATATGATAACGGTTACGAGAGTGATTGGTCAACGAAGCACAGTCACTACAACTACGTCGATGAATTCGGTATTGATCTTGTTGTACTAATGAGGTATAACAACTTGAACCGATGTATATATATATATGGCTAATTCTACATTGTAGTTGATTGACTGACTGAATTCATTATCTCAATCTCTATAACCCTATATTTTTTTCTTCTTTCAGTATGTTATTCACATTACATAATCATGATCATAATCATAATTCATTAAATGAACATTCTCATCAAGAGTTAAATTCATTTCCTATAACTCATGTTAATCATTTAACTATCAATAATCATTCACATGAAATTAATCATGATATTCATAAAGAATTTAATCGTCCAAATATTACTGTACGTGCTGCATTTATTCATGTGATTGGAGATTTATTACAAAGTATTGGTGTAATGATTGCAGCAATGGTTATATATTTTCAAGTAATCAATAGTTTTTCTTTTTCTTTCTTTATTTGTTTCATGTTAATAATCTATTCATTATAAAGAAAGATTATGATGATGATGATGATGATTCCGATTGGATTGTATGCCTGTTACTCTTTGTGGAGGAGCATAAGTCACACATCAGCATTCTCCATCCAATGCTGTCTTGGACAATGCTTTCTAGTTATTATTCATTCTTTTCATATGTGATTTTTATTTCCTGATGTAATGTGTTCTTTGTTATCCCTCTTTCCTGCTTCTATTCACAATTTCAAGTTAGGGCTTGTCTCGTGATGCGGTTTGATGATGTATGTCCTATCCACTTCCAGCACTTATTCCTCATTTCTTCCTCCACTGGATTCTGGTTTGTTCTCTCACATAGTAGGTTGTTGCTGATAGTGTCTGGTCAACGGATCCGAAGTATTTTGCGTAAACAGTTGCTAGTAGACAGTTGTATCTTCTGAATGATGGCTTTCGTTGTTCTCAAAGTTTCCGCCTCATGAAGTATAACTGTCTTGAGATTTGTATTGAAAATTCTGACTTTGGTGTTGGTTGGTAAACAGGTGTTTTGAGTTACAGATCTTCTCCAATTGTAGATATGCTGTTCTTGCTTTTCTGATTCGCGCCTTCACATCTGTATCAGATCCACCGTGTTCATCAATAATGCTGTCCAGATATGTAAAGGTTTTTACATCTTTCAAATCTTCCCCGTCAATTATGATTCGATTGTTGCATGCTGTGTTGTATCGGAGAATCTTGCTTTTCCGTTTGTGTATATTGAGACCTACGACTGATCATCTTCTCCTGAATTTGTTGTCTCATGTGCGGTAGAAGAGGCACATAATTTGCAAGGTGTAGATCTTCCAGTTGTATTCTAGCTGTTCACTGTATCCCATGCTTCCCTCACCCCAGATGTTGGTGTCTTTATAATCCAGTCGATCATCAAGAGAAACAAAAAGGTTAAAAGTAAGCAATCTTGTCTGACACCGATCTTTACATCAAACGAACTCCACTAGGCACCCCACTAAGTGTACTACTGGTCTAAAGTCCGGATAAAGGAGGAGGTTTGGGCGTAGGGTTAACAACCCCATCCCATAGAAAAGTAACTCACTAATCAGATAAAAGCAATTCAAACCATGTACAACTACGAATTTCATTTTAATATTACCAAATTTTTTTTTATTAAAAGAGGTTTTGTGGAGATTTTAGTAATTTCAGTTGTTGAGATCATGAGTCAATTGAATCTAGACCACCATGGAAAACGTGGAAGCGTTGTTTGACGGTCGTTTCGTCCTATTATGAGACTCTTCAGTGGCAGTGCACATCCACGACCCCACCTCACGGGATTCGAACCGAAGAACCTACTGGTCTCGCTTGCAAGCACTTAACCACTAGACCATCGAGCCAGCATTCTACGGTGTTCATGTCTAACAGAAATCTTCGGGGTCGTAGATCCACACTGTCACTGAGAACTGCCACAATAGAACGAAACTCCCAACAAACACTGCTTCGAGGTTTTCCATAATGGTCTAACTTCAACTGATCAATGATTTCAACTAGTGAAATGTTTTGTTTGTTTATATATATACACTTTTGTTTATTTTCTCTTCTGTTATTCTACTTATATCTCTGATGGATAAAAGCCAAAATATAAAATTATCGATCCATTATGTACATTTCTCTTTTCATTATTGGTCCTTATTACTACTATTAATATATTACGTGATGCATTAAATGTCTTAATGGAGGCTACACCACGTGGATTAAATTTTAATGAAGTGAAAAATTCATTAATGAATATAAATGGTGTCAAAGAAATACATAATTTACATATGTGGAGTTTAACAACGAATAAAACAGCTGTCTCAGTACATTTAGCTATTGGTAAGTAGCAATAGAAAAATGTAATTGTTATGACTATTTTGTCCGTCTAGTTATCATGTGATTTATCCACTAATGAAAATACGATTTATACAATCTTAGCACTGTGCCAAAATTAATGACGTTCAACCGGTATGAGCAGTCTAGCGTCCTTATTGGTTCTATATCCGCCTAGCCCGTCCACTTGAGTGCAGAACACCAAATACCAACTTCCACTATGCGAATCGAGTCGAATCGATTCATTTATTTCAGACATACTGGGTTTATATATCAATCAAACAGACCACAACGCACACAATAAAGCCAAAAACTGGCTGTGAACGTGGGAGGCTGTAGTTAATAAACTGAACATAGCTTAAGAACAGTAAATCGTATAATAATAAATTATAGGTCAAAATAAAGCTTATAATGAGAGGAATATAATCTAGTTACCGAATATTTATGCCATGCGAATGTATCAATAATAATATTCTATTAATAAGTCTCAGACGTTACTCGTAATGCCATCTTCACTAGGATATAACAGTAATGAAAGAAAGGCAGAAAGAATAAGAAAACAATTCATTCTTAAAGTTTGTTTAATGTTTCTTATTATTCATTTCAAATAGTAACAGGTTTAGACTTAATTGGTCGGCTTAGTGGTCTAGTGGTGAGACCAGTAGGTCCTGGGTTTGAATCTCGCAGGGGGCGAGGTCGTGGATACACACTGCTGAGGAGTCCCACAATAGGACGAAACAACCGTCCAGTGCTTCCAGGTCTTCCATGGTCTTCTAGCTTCAACTGACTCATGGTCTTAACTTTTGAAATTTACTTGGCATTGTTTGTTTGTTTAAATCTTCCGATTGATGTGTTTGGAACTGCAGTTGATCAATCTTTTATTGGTATATGTCCATCTTGTGCGTATTGCCTCGATATTGCCTTAAGTCACAAGTATTCTAAGCAAAGATGGATAGTGGCTAGTAGTAGAATCCAGGACGCACGTGTTATCTTATTTGTAACTCGTCAGTTAATTCTCACTCCGGAACTCGAACCTTGTACCATTCCATCACGTTATCCACTTAGCTATTGAGTCTTGAATGATTATGAACTCTGAGATGCAGGTACATCCATCTGATGAGTCTCAAATAGGACGAAACGTGCGTTTCCTGGATTCCACTACTAGCCACTATCTGTCTTTACATATAGGTATAGGTTCATAATTATTAAAAACTATTATGAATCAACACCTTTCCCTGCTATAATAGTCACTGAAAACCTATCTATACCGAAGACAATTCAATTGTGGATTAATTGAAGTTAATCTTAAACACTATTGAATCTTGGCTTAGTAGTAGCGAAATCTTGAATGTTCAATACTGAATAATCCCATATTAGAATGGAACAGCCATTCATTGCTTCTTAGTACTTGCTAGTTTTTTTAATTATATCAATTTGTGATGTGAATAACATTCAACGTTTATCGTTATAATGTCCATTCGATTTTTGATATTTGCTTATGAGACTCGTTATCATACTATACATTGTTTGTGGTTACTAGTGGCTAACTTTGGAATACATTTACAGAATTTCTAGTAAGGAAAGTCTTTCAAGTTGAGGGTTAGAGAATAACTTTGTGATGTGAAAGTTCGAATTCGACGACCTCCACAACATTCTATGGTAGCAACTATGATGATTAACTTCAAGGGGTAATTTCCGAAGTTTTAATGCGAAGCCATGATCAGTGAATTTCACCGATAATGACAGTGAGATAGTTACTTGCCAATGACATTGAATGATGACCACAAAAATCCACAAGTTGAGTAAAGTTAGGAATCTAAACCACTCGCTGCCAACTACGCTGTCTGAATGTTAAGTGCTTTTTCATGAACCTAAAATTCCTAGGTAAGGTCTCCAGTGGTGGGTCCACTGATGTATGCGATAAAAGCGAATGTTTGGCGCTTTAACCAGATTGGTGGATATGGAGGATCAATCTAGGAGAGTTGGAAAACCCTCAATCCAAACCAATGGTGCATATGGGCTCCACGATCCTGAAGGAACGAATGGTGTACAAGCCTAGTGTTGGTCAGCGGCTACCATAAGACTGCATCTCCTAACCATGCTCTACTGTCTTGTGGATCAGACCTTTAGGTCGAAGGCTTCGGATGTGGCCCCATACGAAAACCACTTGGTTCGGTTTGAGAATCCGGGCAGTATCACAGCTCACATACAAATTGAATGACTTGTATGGTGCATATGTATTCGATGCCTATTTGTACCAATATTTATGTGCTCAAATAAATAAATAAAATAACCATTGAAAAACTCCGAATCACTGGGTAGCCATTTTGTCTTAGTATGTGGCTCGTCCACAGTACACATCCATATTTCTGTTACGGATTTAAAACACAGAAGTTTCAACTTTCATACCAAGATTAATAAACTATCCAATATCCTATGGTTTTCTGTGTTACATCAAACCAATGTTGCACATGGACTCCACGATCTTGAAGGAACATACGGTGTTCAAACTTATCCAATGCTCTATGGTTTTCTGTGTTATCCTCCCCTTTCCCTCCCCCTCCGGCATGTCAATATCATTTTTAATGTCCTAGGTTCGAATCCCGCGAGGGGGGGGTTTGTGGATGCGCACTGCCACTGAGGAGTCCCATAACATGACAAAACGGCCGTCCAGTGCTCCCAGGTTCTCCATGGTGGTCTAACTCCAATGGACTCATGATCTCAACTGTTGAAATTGTTACAATCTCCACAAAAACCCCTTCTGATCCAAATTGTTCGTTTGTCTTTTTTTGTTTGTTTCATATTAGAAAATGATTCAAATGCACAAGAAATATTAAAACAAGCAAATCATCTATTAAAACAACGTTATTTAGCACATGATGTTACAATACAATTAGAATTATATGTTAAAGAAATGGCTGATTGTTATCAATGTAAAGAACCATCAAAATAAGTAGTATATAAAAAAAAGTAACTATATTCACAGTGATAATATTGTACTTCATCTATACACTTATATTTGAACGAATTAAATATTATATATTCTTTATTCAAATGAATAATATCTGATATTATCTTCATTGTATTCAATAGTTTATTAGATAACTAATCTCTATGATGAAACTGAATATATATTTATCTTTATATTCTATATTTTTGTTTAGTAATTTGATCTACTTATAAGTAGTATAATCATATTAACTCAAAAATTGCCATTTGAAGTACTTGATAGAGTAGATCTTACAATTAGTAGACTTTGTCTATAAACTTTATGATAAACTTATATGAGTTATAAAGACTGTTATACATAGAACTTCCTAAAGTTCTTATTATTATGATTATTATTACTAATTGAAGTAATCCATTCATGTGATTCAATGAAACAAGTAAACACATTTAACTTTTCTATTTGTATCCATATTCATTGAAGATTATTGAATCATTTTCATGATTGAATTATATCCATCAATCTATTGAATGATTATGTAATAACTTTAATTTTATTTTAACAAATCATGACAGACTACTTATTTATTTAGCTTGTTATATTACTTATTTCATTAAGGTGTATATCTCTATATAGACAGATAGATAGATAGAGATATAATGACTGAAGTATATTGTGCATTTATGATGATTATGTTCCCTTTCACAATGATGATGTAACTGTTTCCAATCATTTGAATGAAAGATTCATATTGTTTTAATCAAGTTATTTAAGGTTAGATTTGATGAATGATTTCATATAAACACATTTCATTATAGATAAGAATCTTCTTTTCTTTTTAACTTGATTATAAAAATTACATGAAAAGAGAAGATGGTATAGTCAATCATTATTACATAATTATAGATAATTCGATTATCATAAAATGGTAATTGAGGTCGTGCACAGACCAAATTACGACACTAAGGATCATCATCGAACAACCGATTGATTGGAATTCGTCATTGAACATCAACTTCATTGATTATGAAAAGGTGTTTGACAATGTAGATAGGAGAACATTATGAAAACTTCTTCGAAACTATGGAGTTCCTCAGAAGATTGTCAATATTATCCGGAATTCATACAACGGACTACAGTGCAAAGTCTTGCATGGAAGACAACTGACAGATGCATTCTAAATAAGGACTGAAGTTGCACAAGGCTGTCTACTTTCTCCCTTCCTCCTTTTTCTGGTGGTCGACTGGATTATGAAGACTTCGACATTTAAGGGAAAACACGGCATGTAATGGACAGCTCAGAACCAAGTAGACAATTTGGACTTTGTAGATGACCTAGCCCTCATATCGCATACACACGAATAAATACAGATAAAGACAGCCAGTGTAACAGCAGTCCCTGCATCATCAGGCCTCAACATACACAACGGGAAAACCAAAGTACTCAAATACAACATGCAGAACACCAACCCAATCATATTTGATGACGAAACTATGGAAGATGTGGAATCGTTCACATACCTGGGAAGAATTATCGATGAACAAGGAGGATCAGATGCAGACGTAAAGGCGAGGATTGGCAAAGCACTGGCCGCATTCCTACAATTGAAGAACATATGGAACTCATAATAACTATCTATCAACCAATATCAAAGTGAGAATCTTCAATACGAACGTCAAGACAGTTCTACTATACGGAGCTGAAACATGGAGAACTACCACGACAATCATCGAAAGTGTATATGTACTTATCAACAATTGTCTACTCAAGATACTCAATATCCGTTGACCGTATGCCATGATCAACAGCGTACAGTGAGAGAGGACAAACCAGGTTCCATCTGAGGATGGAGTTAGGAAGAAGCACTGGAAGTGGATAGGACATACATTACGCAAATCATCAAACTGCATCACGAGGCAAGCCCTGACCTGGAATGCTGAATGGAAGCGGAAAAGAGGAAGGTCATAGAACACATTACGTCGGGAAATAGAATCAGATATGGCCTATGCTCCTTCACGAGGAGTAATAGGCATATATCATGGTATAGCATCCTCAAGATGGTGATTGGAAGTAGTCAATAGGAAACTCTGAATCTAGGTTCCCTTAAGATTATAGGTACAGCTTGTTGACATGTGCCAAGTAGTATGTAACGTGGATTCAGGGTTTCTTGTTCACTACCTTCAATCAACATCTTATTTTAACATAGTGTTGGTGACTTTAGATCCCCAGAACTCACTTGGAAACGGTCTTAATTTTGTAATTTTATTTAGAAAATTTGAATTTCTTCGTTTTCGCGCAAAAAGCGCTCATTTACACTTTCATGTCATATTTCCTACTTGGGAGTATCTTAAACGCCATTGATTCGTTGTGTCTTTTAGTATGCTATTATGTAACACTTCTCAAGGAAAGTTTTGTGCTGTATATATACGTTTGGATTTGTTTCAGTTGTTATCGCTCTTGCTTTTGGCTTTTTGCGGAATATACTTCCTCATTCGGACTTCGATTTCTCTCTCTAGTTAACAAGCCTGGGACGCAATAGAATAGCTAGTTTATTGGTCTTTGGTCACAAGTCTTTGTTCCGTTCGCAGTCCAAGTGAACTCGTAACCGCTTCAAACCTAGAATATAGTGAACGCAATGTTGAGTCACTATACTACAGCTTGATCGATAGGATTTGATCTACACTGAGAAGGACCTGATATTTATGACAGTGATCATCATTCAGTGGTCAATCAATTATAAATAATTATATTCTTTAGTTAGTAGTATTTAATGAAATCCATTAAGGGAGAATTAGTCCTAATGTTCGACTATTCAATCGAAGGAAATTTACATATGTGTCCTCATTGAGATGTAATCAGAACACTGAAAAACCAAGATACTATGTTACTTTCGATGAATAGTCCATTGGATAAAACGTCTATACTGGAAATCACTATTTTTGTGACTTTAAGCTCGACTTATTCGTCAGTCGGAATACGATTTACACAATCTTAGCACTATATCAAACCAATGACGTTCAAGCAGTATGAGCAGCCTAGTGTTCTTATTAGTCCTTCTTCCTCCTAGCCCTGCCAGTTGAGTCCAGAACATCAATACAAGCTTCTATTATACGAATAATTTATTCCAAACATACTGGGTTTATATACCAACCAAACAGACCGCATCACACCATAAAATAGGAAACAACATTTGTACAAGATCAAGCCAAAAGGTGGCTGTGAACGTGGGAGACGGTAGTTAATAAATTGAACATAACTTAAGAATAGTATTACAATAGTCTGTAGGTTAAAATAAAGCTTATAATAAGAGGAATATAGATATACATAATCTAGTTACTGAATAGTCATGCAATATTAGTCCATTTACAGTTCATAGAAGTTACCTGTAATGTTTGCTATAATCCAGTGGTAAATACTAAGAATACCGGTACTTCTGTTCAAGAAGTTAGCATATCAACAATAAATGATCAATTCTCTTTTAATTGTCATGAAAAAGAAACATTTAAGGTCCTTTACACAATGTCATACAAATGACAGAATATCATTTAGATACTATGTGGTTGGTGGCGGAGGGGGGGTAGGAGATATTCATTTACATAGTCTTAGTCACTCGACTCATTCACTGTTCAGATCAGAAGGGTTTTGTGGATATTATGGTAATTTCAATGATTGAGATCATGAATCAAATGGAGCTAGACCACCATGGAAAACTTGGAAGCACTGGAGGGCCGTTTTGTCCTGTTTTTATATATTTTACTCTTCAGAAATCATACTCAATTTAAATGATTATTACAGTTGCTATATAGATTTCTAAATTGTGGTTCATTGAAATCTTGTATTTTATAAGTCCGAGTAGTAAAGATACTTGTGGTTAATCAACTTATCTTCTAGTGTTCATAATTGATATTGAAGAATATGATTAATAGAGCTGTTTATAGACTGTCTAAAGATTACCGTAACGGAATTCGTAGTGCCGAAATGAATGTAACACTATAAAACAACATTACTTACTTACTTACGCCTGTTACTCCCAATGGAGCATAGGCCGCAGACCAGCATTCTCCAACCCACCCTGTCCTGGGCCTTCTTTTCTAATTCCATCCAATTGTTGTTCATTTTTCTCATGTCTATTTGCATTTCCCGGCGTAATGTGTTCTTTGGTCTTCCTCTTTTTCTTTGGCCCGAAGGATTCGATGTGAGGGATTGTCTTGTGACACAGTTCGGTGCTTTCCTCAATGTGTGTCCTATCCACTTCTAGAGCTTCTTCCTAATTTCTTCCTCCGCTGGGATCTGGTTTGTTCTCTCCCATAGTAGGTTGTTTCTGATAGTGTCCGGCCATGAAACTACATTAGATCCATTATAAAAAGATACTTCTAGAAAATTAGTATTCTTATTTCCTCTTCTTGAATTAAGAAACTATTTTGTCCTTAAATTTCATTATGAATATGTAATGCACTATCCTTTGTGTTAATTTTAATGAAGCGTCTAACTACACGTTTGACATATACTTGAATATAAGGTTCACATACAACGACCTGTCTGAAAAACAGTTCTATTGTGTTAAGGAATACGGATAAGCTGTCTACAAACATCAACTCGTTAAGTATCTATGGAGATTAATGTATCTGCATGTTTGAAAAGAGAAAGGTTTTCTGTATTGATAACACACAAATTAATTTTAACATACGATAGCGTAAATGGCAGTTAGTAGTTGTCTTGCATCACATCTGAATCAGATCCACTGTGTTCATCAATGACGCTGCCCCGATATATAAAGGTTTTTGGTGAGACTCTAATTTATGGACGACGACCTGTGAACGAATCTTAAGTAACCTTCAGAACTATTAGCCAATCAGCAAACAGTCAGTATAGAGTAAAAATATGTTATACAAAACCAAGGAAATAAAGTGGATACACTTCTTATACGTGGTTCAAAAACTCGTCAAGGTTGGAAAGAGGTTCAGAGGTTCTAAAATCGAAATGCATGCAGTAGAGGAAATCATCCATACGACTACAGAATAGTCGGCCTCTCGAGCCATGATAAAGTCTCAAAAACTCTTCCAGCCTCGACCACATAGCTTCAATATTGTTTATGTGCACTCCGGTTGTTGAGCGTACAAAATGCTACTTGTGGATAACGACACGATGCACATAACCAAGCCTATGTAGAAGTCTGTACGCTCTCCAATCATCCGAATATATTGTAGTACCTGGCTGCAGCCAATGTTACTGGTGCTTTTATTATCCAGTTCGCGATAATTTTCGTAATTTGTCTTAGTTAGGAATTATATATGGGGTTTTCATCACGAACTGACATCAGCTATAATGCTAGAAATTTATTTAGCCAAATAGATGAAAGGCTTTCGCGTTAAAATCCGAGATCTATTATCTTATACCTGATTGATTCGTCCACAAATTATAGTCCCGCCGTTTTATTTGTTGTAGCCGCTCAATTATCACGTTTTGAACAAAATTCTCTGTGAACCGACAGTACGTTAGCATTAAGCACTGAAGTTGTGGCCGTAACCTTGAAATCTCTAAAACGCCTCTGTGATTGGCTCGTTCATAAATTAGTCTCGTCAGGTGTTTACATCCTCCAAAGTTTCTCCGTCAAGTGTGATTCGATTGATGCACTCTGTGTTGTATCAGAGAATTTCACTTTTCCCTTTGTGTATGTTGGGACCTACGTGTTTATATATTTGGAAAGAGAAAAGGTTTTTGTAATGAGAACACATAAATTAATTGCAACATTACTTACTTACTTTACTTACGCCTGTTACTCCTCGTGAAGGAGCATAGGCCGCTCACCAGCATTCTCC